TGTTATATAAGCAGCGAATTTCGTACACAATTCTTTTAATGTGCTGCAAACATTCGGACAGGAAACCACTAACAATTCCATAGTGTCATAACGTCATTTTGAATATCAGTAGCATCATTAATTGAAGTAGCCCAGATGCGTCACGTAACATCAACCCGAAACAACATTGGCAATTTCCATAACGACCTATTATAGTAGCTACCATGAAAACTGGATAAATTTCGCCTGATGCCAGCATCTTTAATTCTTGATTAGATAATGTCAACCCAATCCAGTGGCGCATTTAGGGGTGGATGGAAGTCCTTTAAATGCTTAAAATTCATTTCAGACCATCTGGAAGAATCCAGACCCCCGGTCATAAGGGGCTTCGGCCCTTGGGCGTCCTCTCTGTGACACACATCTAATTAGAAACACCAATAAATCAAATAGTTTGCTTAATTTGACACTGAAAAATAAGGGAACCCATCTTTAATGAACCTCATTCATATTAATTTTACTTATTTCATATTGTAGAAGATAAGCATTATCTCTTTGGAATTTACAACATAACAATAAATGGAGAGTTTCTGACAGTAGATGGTAGAACTGGTGCCGATTTCACCTATAGAAACTGGAATGTAAATTATCCAGATGATTTAGAGAATGCATTCTATGGTGTGTTTAGAACAATTGGAGGTGGCCCTTTATTCCAATGGAAGAATGCAATCAACTTACAACGTTATTATATTTGCGAACTTTAAATTGCACTGTACTGACATTCTTTCTAGGGAGAATCAAGCATCATGATTTTTGTTCTAAAAGTTGAAAGTCTTTTAGTTTAAAAAATTGTGTTGAGTTTTCCACTTCAAAGAAACAAGATATTGGAATAAATCTTAAAGCCGACACCCTTTGAAGTATTTCGAGACCAGTCCATAAGATAGCCTATTGTCAGTGGCTCAACTACCATAGGGACTAAATTAACCCAAGAAGGGCCTGGAGGGGATTCAAAATGCAGGCTATGTTGAATAGGCTATGTTTAAAAATCACAACCTACTCAAATCCACGGGTCACGACTCTAGTTGAGTCACTGGGCATTGTTACTACAGACAACTTACTGCCTACTGAGCTACCGTCGTAACCTCTTTTGACAGTTAACTTTATTGTAATTTGAATTTTTATTGAAAAAATCTCAGAGGCAATTAAGCTAGCCAAATAGAGACTAGGAGTATAATAGAATAATAGTAGAACAGTGTATAGGGCATACTGTAAGAGTTCCCAAATCAGAGGAACCACCTAACAGAGGTTTGTTTCCTCGATTATGTATTCGACACTTAGAATTGGATTTCATCGTTATGGCATATGTGAAAAACGACCCCATAGAGGCTACAGCTACAGTTTATATGAATACCCCTATTCCCTACCTCGGTATATAATCTACCGCCTGGCCTAGTCGGAAACATCTGCCTCTACCCCAGTCTCTGGTAGCTATTTTGACTTGAGCTCAACTTCGATAAAATCTTTGCAAGTGCATGGGTATTACGCATGAAACAGGGGCTTGTTCTTGTCGTTACTGGTGTATGTTATCTTGTCTAGCACAATATATTTTAAGAATAGTTCTGCATCATTTGGTGGAAGAAATCGTGTCGATTCAACTTCATACAATTTCTATTAGACGGTATAGACATTAATTAATTATACATTCCTTCTTATTGTTTCATTATAAAGTTATATTATCTACAAAATAGCTTTTAAACAGAAATATTAAATCCAAAACACATATATCTGTACAGATACCCGGAGATTGGGTTCAGTTTTGAAAAAACTACCTGATACTTAAACGCGATTTGTTACAAATTTCATATGGAGATTTTTTTTAGGGTGTGAAGATCCGTTTTTATCTTTGTTAAGATTGATTTATATTGTAGAGATTTATTTTATATGCTTTTTTGTAGATTCGTTTTATATTTGTGGAGATTTTTTTTTGTATTTGTGGAGATTTGTTTTATATTTGTAAAGATTTGTTTTATAATTGTTAAGATTTTTTTTTATATTTGTGGAAATTTGTTTTTTATTTGTAAAGATTTGTTTTATAATTGTGGAGATTTGTTTTTATTTGTAAAGATTTGTTTTATAATTGTTAAGATTTTTTTTATATATTTGTGGAGATTTGTTTTTTATTTGTAAAGATTTGTTTTATAATTGTTAAGATTTTTTTTATATTTGTAAAGATTTGTTTTATAATTGTTAAGATTTTTTTTTTCTATTTGTGGAGATTTGTTTTTTATTTGTAAAGATATGTTTTATAATTGTTAAGATTTGTTTTTTATTTGTAAAGATTTGTTTTATAATTGTTAAGATTTTTTTTATATTTGTAAAGATTTGTTTTATAATTGTTAAGATTTTTTTTATATTTGTAAAGATTTGTTTTATAATTGTTAAGATTTTTTTATATATTTGTGGAGATTTGTTTTTTATTTAGAAAGATTTGTTTTATAATTGTTAAGATTTGTTTTTATATTTGTGGAGATATGTTTTATATTTGGGAAGGTTTGTTTTACATTTGTGTAGATCTGTTTTACATTTGTGTAGATTGTTTTATATTTTTGTAGATTGTTTTATATTTGTAAAGATTTGTTTCATATTTGTGAAGATTTTTTTTTATTTATAGAGATTTCATCCCAAAAGCAATTTTTTTTTTTTTTTTTTTATCAATTTTCGTAATTAATTATTGGACTTTTTTGACGTTTGGTGCAATATTGTACAAATGTATTGTTTTTATTGTGCATTGTTTAGAGCTGTAAAAGTCTTTTCAAGCCAAAAATTGAATATCACTGACGTAAGATCTATGATTGAAAAAATTCCGTGTTTATTAATATAAATAATTCATTCTTTCCTTCCCTGAGGAGTAAGGTTCTCAAACATTTATAACTAATTTGTTAAGTGAAGAGGGAAGTGAGAAATAAATACAATATTAATTGAAGCCTGACACTACAAGAGATAAGATGTTATTGGTGTTAGTAATTTGTCAATTCTTTATGGTTGGTGTACGAGGTCAAATAGATACCTGGATTAGAGGACAGAATTCGCTGACTTTAAATGGAAAATATAAAATAAAGACCGATGCTACCTCGGTAGTAGCTTGTAGTTTTGAATGCAGTTCTCAATTTGGTTGTCGACATTTTTTCTTTGATTTCACCACCAACAGGTGTTACCTTAACTCCAAGTTTTTCGACTCTCAATCATTGACTACCTTGAATGCATCCAGATATGATATATCAGGTGAGATCTTTTATTTGATAAACTACTAACTCCACTCGATTTGTTTCATCAGAAAGTTTGACAGTGGGTAATGGGTCACTTAATTATAAGTATATTAATTTATATTAAGTATAATTTTCTCTGGTTTCGTTACCAGTTAGCGCTCAAGATGAGTCAATTCGGTCTCTTGTACATTATTTTGTAATGAAAATAAATCACATTTAAAATATGTGAATTGTCTACATGTAACGGCGCAAACAATATATATTTATTTCCTGCATTTTGCATTCCGGATTGCTAGAGATCAGTACGTGTATAATTTATTTTAAGTCGAAATCAGGTTACAGATATTCCAAAACGATCATAAGCGCACATGAATCGTGCTGTTAGTCTAAAAGAACCAGATCATCCAGATGCCACTTGATGAGTTCAGATTAGAAAGTATTGCACAAGAGCAGAAAAGAGTTATCGTCCTTGACAACAACATAATACTGAATTGTTATAGGTGGCGATATTTGTCCAGCAACTTTCAAGTTGACAGAAGACGGTATCTGTTTTCTTGTCATGAACAATCCAGGGTATAAAGTTAACTTCGATCATGCTAGAAGAGATTGTCAAGTTTATGGTGCAGATCTGATGGTGATAGATAGTCAAAGAAAGCACGATGTCTTATTGAATTATGTTGACGGTAAGTCACAAAAAATATATCTGCAACAAAGCACAAATGTCTAAAAGCATTGTAGTTTCAAGCAGAAAATTTGACACTCGGTTCCTTTAATATGTTGCAAACATTTGTGGACAGGGAACCAGGGATTGTACGCACGCCAGCAAATACAGTTAATAATTAGAGCCCTCAATGGCTGAAAACATTGTGATTTTGCGTTGACAGACTTTCTGTCAGGGCCTTTGATTGGATGTATTCGCTGGTGTACAATCCAATCAAATCGCTTCATTTGCAACATTCCACGATACATGAGCGGTTATCGCAGCCAAGGTTTCAGTACGAAGTTCGTAGTAGCTTGATAATGTGAAGATGGTATCAACAAAGAAACACCTCTCGTCATAGTCGTTGATTTTGCGCTGCAAGAACACACTAGACACAACGACCTTGTGATTTTCAGGAAAAATGGTGTATTAACTCTGAATTAACAATCAAAATAAAGATAATACCTGAAATTGATTCAACAAATCAGCCATATTTTTGTTTTTTTTAATGATCATCATTTATAACAAGTTTTCTTATCTATTTATTACAGAAGACAAGCACTATCTCTTTGGAATTTACAACATAACAATAAATGGAGAGTTTCTGACAGTAGATGGTAGAACTGATGCCGATTTCACCTATAGAAACTGGAATGTAAATTATCCAAATGGTACACAGGATGCAACATATGGTGTGTTTAGAACAATTGGAGGTGGCCCTTTATTTCAATGGAAGAATGCAATCAACTTACAACGTTATTACATTTGCGAACTCTAAAGTGCACTGCATATTTTGATTTATTTTGAAATTTTCCTTTTGAAAGCATAAGTTACAATTTTTTTCGAATATAAAGTCAAATGCAGTACCTGTATATACAAAATATGATATACATATTAATCACTTTTAAAGGATACAAAATTGTTAAAGGGACATATTCGCCATTTTCGGGGATTGATTTGTGTTTTGAAAATATGTAAATAGTAATCAGAAATACGAGAAATGTAGGAAAATCGCATACCTCAGTCTTACAAAAACCTCGTTTCTGAAACTAAGGTACGATTGGTCAAACGGACGGCGAATCTGTCCCGTATCTGTAAACGCGTTGATTGTTTCAACCTGTGAACTGTTAGTAAAAGTCAAAGTTTTCTCTCTTTTTTTCTTGTCGTTGGTGGTGAGTGAATTATTATGAATAAATAAAAATTTCAAGTTTATTGAGTTGATTGGTTTTATATGAAACTTAGACAACAACTTACTGCCTACTGAGCTTCCGTGGTATCCTCACGTCTGCAGAAAAAGGAAGACGTTTATTTTATGTTTCATTCCACATTTTTGTCGTATTTATGTATGAATATATGTGAATATATGAGCCAAAATCATGTTTACCCTATATATACTATTGTAAAAATGATATTCCAAATCATATAATAATAATAATCAGTTAGATTCGATTAATCGACAGAAGTGTGAAAACAGTATGGAGACAAAATTTCGTATGGCCAAGAACCATATACACAAATATGTTTAGTTCATGGGCAAACTTGTAACATATTATTGAAGATGGATACTAGGTCGATCTATATAAAATATAAAGTTATCAATATATATCTATTCTGATTTAATCCCTTAATTCTTCTAATCTCTGGGAACTATTCTGATACGATATGATTAGCTGACTAGCCCTGTATATATTAACCGTTATCGACATTAGCTTCAACAAGATCCAACATGTTTCAACCAATAAAACATTCCCTGAATAAGCTAATCTCATTTAAACATTTCGGGGTTTTAAGTATTGCGATTGATAATCTTGAACGAAATCAAATCAAAGCTATTTCATTTCAATTAAATTCTCGTACGTTAATACAATCGTTGAGGAGTAGATTGGAAACATAGTAAATGAAGAATGGAAAAAATTTAAATGTAGTCTGATTTACTATAATACTGGATTCTATCAAGTTATCTCCCGTACATTCCTAAGAATTTCAAATGGACTTGTTCTCACTATCTAACTGTGTAACGGTAACGTTTTGAAACTTGACTGGATTTTTCATTCGAAATGGAATTATTGTGAGGGTATACTGATAAAGTGTGATAATGGACATATAAAGTGATATACCACAAGAGCTGATATCAAAAAGTGTGAAATATGAAGTATATTCGGGGCTATATTTTGATATTATTTGTTATCTTGGCAGTGTATATCAAGTCTATACAGGCTGGTAAGTATGATAATATTAACACACTTTCACGTTTACTTTCACTGGAGTGATAGTCGTGTTTAAGACATAAGTTTTAAGCTTTACACAATTAAATTTCATCTGATATTGCATACGAAATTTAAATATCTGAAATGTAACTATGGACGCTATGTGATATAAGTAATAATCATCCAGCCATAACGTCTAACGGTGTTATTGCTCTACAGTAAACAATCAATCATATTGATTACTAACGGTTTCTATTTCCTTAAAGTGACGCTGTAAAAAATTATATTGAAAGTAATGGTGTGCTGCCTCCAGCATTTATTTTTGAATGCCATGTTGTGTGCTTTTTAGAATTAAAGAAGCACTCTTATACAGCATCCAAATGTTTCTTTGTTTTTCCCACCATACTTATTGGTCTATATTAGTATATTTATATATCAATATAAATCAATCAAAGCAAGATAAAGCTACCTCATATAGGATTTTGAAAACTTGCCAAAAACTTAAAATGCTATACAAAGATTTTTTTTATTATTGAGTCAGAATGCAAATATTGCCTACTGCCCCTATAATATATAATAAAGGTAATTGACCAGTAGATATAATAATACAAGTTACAAGTACATGATATAAATGACTTAAACCTGTTTGTTATATAAACTATAATAGTATATTATATTATATGATATGTTCTATGTCTTGTTCAACTTTTATAGTAAAAGATATATTAGATATATAATAAAACACCTCCTTGACAACACTATACTATACTGTCATGTTGGAAAGATATGTGCAAAAGGGAAAAAATCTTTGAATTTATTTGACTTGTGATAACTTTTTAACACCTACATGTTACATTTAAAGATTGGTTACCTTAATTTCATATCAGAAAATGAAAAATGTTAATACTTATGTGAACAGAAAGAAAAGGTATTCTAATGACTTGTTCATAATTAATTCATAATTAGCTAAATTAGAAGAGAATTACCAGCAGAATTCCTATGAGTGGCCGATCAAGAAAGGTCAAAAAGTCTTTTTTTGTTTATCTAGACTATACAAACATGGATATTTATGATTGCTTCAAACTCTGAATTATATGCAATAAGAACATAATGATATGATTAAGAATACATGATAATTCATTAGAAGCGCCAGTTAATCAAATAGTTTGCTTAATTCAACACTAATTCAAAAATAAGGAACCCATCTTTAAACATAGGGTTAGAAAGAGAGTCTGAGACAGTAATAGCTTCCTATATAACTTTTGCACTAAAATTTGCCAAGATTATGATGTCACCTCAATCTTTTTTTGTGATGAAATCATCTTCTGAATGGCCTTTTTCGAGGTCCCTTTAACAAGCTTCTAAAAGATATATCCATTTGTAGAAGTCTTTGCACTAGAAATTGTACAAAAAAATAACCTAATCCCTTTAAATATACCTTTAAATATACCTTGAATAATTTCATTTTCTATTTGTATCTTCACTGGTTTCTCCCCTGCCTGAATATTCTAGGTCTTTTCAACAAGGTTTAAAATGAAAAAAAAGACATAATCATGAGATCATTGCAGGTGATGATGAGATACAATATGTATACAGATGATAACTCCAAGGTTTATTGTTGAATATTTTATCTTCTTTTTCACATTATAGCATGTCCCCCTGGGAAGTATGGACCTAATTGTAATGGAGTGTGTCGATGTTTAAATCCAGCATTATGTCGAGATGATACTGGATATTGTGAAGGGTTTATGTGTGCTAGAGGATATCGTACACCACCATATTGTAATAACAGTAAGTATAGCTTGGCTTCATTATCAGTGATTTGATATTGAAAAACATAGGCATATGGCTGAAGGTCTGTTGTTAGGGCACTGAAGTATGCTGGTTTGCCTGAAATTTCCCCACTGTACATGTTTTTGTTTTCGGATTGATGCCCGGTTCATTTTTTTTCAGACCTTAGTTATTTTTTCGCCCCAATAGGAAAATGAGTGAAGTAGAGTTCTATGTTTGTCATTGCCTCACAAAGAAGGGCAACACCATGCATTGCACAATAAGGGAAATTTATCCAGAACAGTTCAATTATCCTACTCTTAGCAGCTGGAGGCAATCCTCACTAGCTAAAGTGATATCTTTTATAAAAAGTATGGAACAATGTAATACATGTATTTCTTTCTCTTTGTACAAAAACTGATTTACATTCTACTCAAAACAGGAAAGTAGATAATATAAAATTTGTCTTGTTTCAGCATGTCTTGTTAATACGTATGGTGTAAATTGTGCTGAGGAATGCCATTGTCCACCAGGTGATACATGTACCTCTATTAATGGGTTGTGTTCTTCTGGTCAATGTGCTGTAGAATATGGTGGACCCAGTTGCAGTGTTCGTAAGTAAAATTTCTCACTTAGATTACATACCCCAAATTATTTCTATCTCTTCCATTATTGATGGAATATAGTCATCAATATTTGCCTTACTATCTAATAGAATTTAATACCAGCCATCAGTAACACTTTTTACAGTTACAATCTGACAATCAGTTCTTTTATATGTTATTTTCCAAAATTTCAGGTAAGCCAAAACTAGTAATACCTCCGGAAATGGTGACAATTATATCCCCTTGTTATGTTCAAGTCAGTTGGAATGCATGGAATAAGGAATTTGATATTGGACAGAATACTATAGGAAAGTACAGGTAAGCTAATTGTTTGAAACTTTGAGAAAACCAGTAGGTTATAATTGGTACAGTCAAGGAAATTATAAATATTTTAAAGAGAAAATTCAATTGTATTGTCGTTGATGATGTGGATTTCAATGTAAAGAATAACTCTGATGCATCAGCCAGTTTTTCTGAGAATCTTGTATTTCAACACCTATCAACTACTCCACAGGTACATGTGGACAGGATAGCCATTGGTGAAGCATTTGAGATTTTGCCAGTCGACTGATAGGCCTATGTATTATAAAAAAGTAAGGTAAGTTATAGGCCTATCAGTCGAACAGCAAAATGAAATGCTTCACCAATTGCTATCCTGTCCACATGTACCTGTGTCAGCTAATACACAGTCTAGGGTTATAACTTAAATGAGGTTTACAGGTAAGTTGTTAGCATAGGTGATAGCTTTTCAAGATGGACCTTTAATACAATTCAATAAGAATCAGTATATTATAATGATAATTTCAGTTTACATTATCAAAGACCAGGTAACAGTCCACAGTGGTTGATTTATCAAGATGTGTCAGCTAGAACAGGTCAAACAAGATATACTGTTAATTTTAACCCTCCTAGAGAATTAGAGAACTATAGATTTCGTGTGGATGTTCATCAGAATTCTGATGGTAAAATACAATCTGCTGTTCCAGGTCTTGTTTCAGATCTTTATTATGTGGATTGTTCAGGTAAATAATTTAATTTAATTAAGATCTAAATGAAGTAACATGACATGCATTTTAAGTCATTTAATAAAAAATTTGTATCCATTATAATTGTATTGGGAGACACGATTTTTTTAGCCAAATCTCTTTGCATTGAGGCTCTTGGAATTATTTCTAGTTCGGTTGAATAGAATAGTGAGGAAAGATGCCTATGTAATTGATTCATTAAACACAATTTTAACATAAGTGTACATGCAACTTTAAAGGAAATATTGGTAATACATTTTTAATGTTGTCTTGTAGGAAATCCATCAAGTACACCTGCTATTCCTACTACTATCAGATCTTATATAGGTAAGATGATATTCTACAGGAGATGTTTGCTGTATATCTGCAATAGGCTCCAACATCTGCATGTTATCTGGGCTGTACCTTGAGATTGTTTTCTATCAGGCTAAAAATGTTTGGGAAAATGTGGGTAGGATTCAAACAAGCACTGGACATGGCATAAGATTTTTTTTTTATCTCTTTAGAAGGATAACCCATAGAACATTATTGGCTAGCAAAAGACAATCCAACTCATTACCAACTGGGTATTCTACTTTAATCTAATTGTTACATTGTTTCTTCCAAGAGTGAATCTAGAAAATTCCTTATGAGGGGGGCAAAAATGAGAGGTGTCTTCTGAGACAAGATCAGAAAGGCCGAAGCCCCTTGAGGCTATGGCTTTGGAGGCTGCAAGAGCCCCGTGGAAGTCAATATATTTCAGATAGCCTGAGATGAATTTAGAGCGTTAAGAGGGCTTAATTTCTATTTCAAAATAAAACCTATCACAGGCCCGAGAGAGAAGCATAGGCCCAATAGCCCTCCACCTAAATACACTACTGGTTTCTTCTGAAGTCTTGCATGTAAATCTGCTGTATGAGCAATATGATCTGTTATATGAGTGTATGTTATCATGCCTGACAAGTTTTCTTTTATTATAGGTACCAGGATATTCAATAACATCACTTTAAGACTGATAAATGACAATTCTGTTCAAGTTTCTTGGAATCTAGTTGATTCTGTAACATCATTGAATTTTGACGTCACTGCTACATATAATGTAATAGGTATTAGTGACTGTGCTGTATTTAATGAACCCAATATAACGGTACAGAGCATTAATAAATTCACCCCTATAGACCTCACAGGGTTACAACGATATCGGAGATATTTGATAACAGTTGAAGCTGATGGTGTCAATCCTGTCATAGCTGATAAGTTAACCAAGATTATAGATACTGGTGAAATATGTAAGTTATGATCTTTTAAATACCAAATATTTGAATGGAAAATTGAGCAGTTTTTTACAGTAAAAAGGGATTGCCAAACTCAGTATGTGCGTTATACACAGTGACAAAAACATTTTAATTTTTTTACCAGGGTTACCCAGTAAATATTGACAATAGCCTACGCCATTTTGTAATTAGATTAACATTTCTAAAATCACTCCCTTCTCTAACCAAGTTTCGTGAACTGGTGTTTATTTTTCGATAAACTGTAGTGTTTCTCGTAACAATATGGCGTATGAATACATCTCTAAGCAAATCACTCATATAAAATAATGCAGTTTATAATAATAGAAATATCTGAATTTGACAAATGGCCAGTTTGTTATTCATCACTAATGTTCTATATTAGAAGAGAGAACCCCATAATTCCTATGAATGTCACTATCTCAGAGTGTTCAATTTGCCTTTCAGTGCCAACAGGAACTGTTTCAAATTTTCTAACTAAAGATTTAAAATCAACGTCTGTGGAAGTGATCTGGTCGGATGTTTTGTGTGCAGAGCGTGGTGGAATATTGGTGAAATATGATATACTGACAACTAATATGAATAATTCTGTTAGTCGTCTGGACTCTGTTAATAAAACCAGTATCACACAGACTAGACTATCACCTTATACAACATATAGCATACAAATAAGATACGTTAATTCTATAGGAGTGGGTCCTTATAGCTCTCTATTTATGTTTCAAACAGCTGAATCTTGTAAGTTTTTTTTAATTCTTTATAGAAAAAATTGTTAGTGCTTCTTTAAGCATGGGTAATTTATTGTTACATCCCACAGCATGATATAATTATCCATATAACAAATGAAGCAAAAACTGAGATAAAGGGGAGTCTGGGTAAACTTGAAATACATAATAGAAAAATGTTTGTTTGTTGTTAACAGTAAATTAGAGCTAATTAGTACATTACTGTTTATTATATATATATTTTTAGTACCATCACCTGTTACAATAACAGAATTAATACCGTCAGAGACCAATATAACAGTAAATTTTAATCTACCAGTTGAGCCAAATGGTGTGATAACAGAATATAACATAGCTTATAGCGATAACAGTAATTTTACATTCCCTACTTCAATAACACACAGTGCTAACCTAGGTTTATCTACTGTTATACAAAGTCTTCAAGCTTATACTGTTTATTATGTTAAGGTAAGTTGAAAGAGAGCATGTGCCCTATTTGCACTTAGGATAATTCTTTGTAGACACATCAGGATGTAGTGCTATAAACTTCTTAAATGCTTAATTTGATTTAAATTGCTAGAACCATAGATGTCTGTTGGAAATTGGAATGAGGTAAATCAATGCTATCAGTGTCCCTGATAAAAAGGTTTGAAAGCCTCTTTACAATCACTTTGATAAGTTAGTGTCATTATCTATTTATAGATCAGAGCTCAGAATGGAGCAGGAAGTGGTAATTATGGTTCAGTTAGATCAGTCCGAACTTTACAAGATTTACCATCAGCTCCTGTTGAACTTGTTTTATTGTTCCGTAACATGACTTGTATTCAGGTACAATGGCAGCCACCAAGCATACCTAATGGAGTTATTAGAAGCTATACAGTAAGTTAATTTGGATTCAAGGGATTGCAAAAACAAAGTGTTTTATGACATCACTATCAGAAAAGCGACTAGTGATATCTTAGGACCTTCATGAAATTGACAACATAAAAGCTTAGTTTTAGGTGAATGGCAGGAAAATTGGAATAGTGCAGAACAATACCCAGTATCTTAAAAAGTTAAGAAAACCTTTTTACAACTGAAAATGTGTTTAAATCTTGTATGAATTGAAGCCTTCATGATTGATGTTGGACACAATACTTTCAATATATCCCCAATGTTAATGGGAGATAACAACTGTTGGTCTGTAGTACAGATAAATGTTTTCTTAGTAAAACAATCTGATAATTGTTCAACCCAAAATCAACTCCTTGTAATCAAAATGATGTGTTTTTTCTAACAAATAGGCTAGGTCTTTGAATGGCATTTAGTAAACGTGTTGGATGTAATGAAAAAATTCTTATGGATTACAATTACTAACTTTATTTGAGCGACGTTTCGACCAGTGTTCTCTAGTCTTTATCAAGATTGCTTGATTTCATTAAATAGGCTAGGGTTTCTTTTTGATAAGCATTTGAGTGCAATGGACACAAAAAAAATCATTGATCATGATCATGTTTTATCATTGTAGGTTTTATTGAAAGAAGTATTGTCTACAGGATCTGATGATAATGTGGCCTCGATAACAACTGGGGTAACTAATGCTAGGAAATGTAGTCTAACTCCTGGATCTCTGTATCGCTTTGTTATAACAGCTACCAATGATCGTGGAGTGGGTCCAGAATTATCTGAAGACTTTTGGACTGAACAGAATACTCCACCGATTCCCCCTGTACCAGTTCTGGTAGATTCGTCATTCACAACAATTACAGTTGCCATTGACCCAGTAATTGTCTCCCCTGGGCCTCGGATCTCATATCAATTACAGATCGAGAAAGAAACAGCAAGAAAGAGAAAGAGACGTATTGCCTCTCTACCAGGATATGTCACGGCTGAACTAACTCAACAAGATATACCATCTAAGCGTAACTTTGTGATAGGAGATGGGAAGATTTATGGTGGCTATAACAATGTTCCTCTAGACGCAAATCAAGCCTACAATGTTTACTATGTTGTTCGTAGCACTATCAATAATTCTACTAAAAGCGCTTATTCCCAGATGGCAGCCCCAGTTATAGCTGCACCTCAAGTTGTTACTGAGACACCTACAACGGAGGAACCTCTAGCAACAGGCGGCACCACAGATTATACCACCCTGATAATTGTTCTGGTGGTGCTTTTCATCATAATCATCATCATTATCATCATCATTGTCGTGTGTGTCTGGTGGCGAAATAGAACGATTTCGACTCCTTATAAACCCCAACTCACTAATGATATTGATATGTCTGTATACATGCAAGATTACGATCCTGAAACTTATTGGAATAAAGTGTCCTCATTGCGTGAGAGTCGGTATATTATTGCTGGTAGAGATCTACTTCCTTCCAACCCAACAGACCCTGCTGATATGAATGGTTATACATTGTGTGGACCAAATAACGATAGAATCTCATTTAGTGAAGAGTTTAAGAAAATAGGTCATGCCTCCCAATCAGCAACTGACACTGAAGCTAAATCTAAACGGAATAGACATAAAAATAGATTTCCACATTTGTTACCTTATGATCAAACCAGAGTTATCCTAAAACCTGATGAGAATTCCAGCAGTGACTATATAAATGCTAGTTATATTCGAGATGATAAACATGAAGTAGCCTATATTGCTGCACAAAGTCCATTCAATGAACAAACTGTGATAGATTTTTGGCGAATGATATACCAAGAGAATATTAAGACAGTTGTAATGATAACTAACATTGTTGAAGATGGTATTGTCAAGTGTACCCAGTATTGGCCAGAGACTGATGAAACTCAAATTGTTGTTGGGAATTTTTATTTAGAATTGGTAGAAGTTGATGAATATGCAGACTACATCATACGTACCATCTATCTACAGACGTCAGTAGGAGGTGATAAATATGAAGTTGTTTTATTTGATTATACCACATGGCCTGAACATGGTGTTCCTCTCGACCCCATTCCTTTCCTAGAGATGAGGTATAAGTGTAGAGACTACCATGGTAAGGATCCAGGTCCTATACTGGTGCATTGTGGTACAGGTATGGCTAGAACAGGAGTATTTATAGCTGTGGACTCATTAATAAGTCAATATGAGAAGAAGGGTCGAATTAGTGTGTTTAACTTTGTGAAGAGAATGCGTAAAGATAGACCAAACATGGTGCGTACTTTTGGACAGTATGTGTTCATTTACGGATGTATATTTGAAGAGTTTTATGCAGGAGATACTATGGTAGGAGAAAATTTGAAGGAGACCTTCCATGATCTCAGTAAGAAAAACAGAAAAACTGGACATTCCTATTTGAAAGATCAGTTTCGACTTCTGGAGAAGTTTACTTTTGGTCCACCAGCAAGTAAATGTTCCGATGCCTTGTTGCCTGCTAATAAAATGAAGAATCGATATTCTGATATTATACCCCATAATGATGATCGACCAATATTATATACACCAGGTGGTATTGGCAGAAATGACTATATTAATGCTGTTTTTATGGATGGATACAGAAAACGCAATCAATTTATTATGACACAAACGCCCCTCCATACAACAATTATTGACTTCTGGAAGTTAGTGTATGACCACGATATTAAGACTATTGTTATGTTGGAGAATTATGACAGTAAAGATGATACATGTGCTAAATATTGGCCCGATGTAAAAATGAAACAGTTTGAACCTTTTATAATAGAAGCTTACACAGTGTGTCAAATGGAGAATATTACGAGTCGTGACTTTAAAATTTTCAATCTTCAAAAACCAAATGAATCTCCACGAATCGTACGTCAATTTCAACTGAATGACTGGCATGAACCTAACTTTGTTCCTGTGTCTAAAACTATGATATTAGACATGATTGATTTGGTAAATGAGTGGCAGGTTTCATCTAACCAAAATACTTCCCCAGTTCTTGTACATTGTAAAGATGGTGCTACTCATAGTGGTATATATACTACATTATCAGTGGCCTGTGAGAAGATGGAATGTGATAAACAAGTAGATATTCTCCATACAATACGCCACCTGAAGAAACAAAGGGTACAAATACTCTGTCAAATGGTAAGTGCTAGAGATGGTTGAATGAAGGAGATAGTATCTTTGAAATTCATCAACATGGTTTGCCTCATCGGTATGCCAATCTATGAAAAGTATTGCTAATATAAACAGTGCTCCATGCTCCTCAGTGTGCTGTATGCTGTAGGTTGTGCAGTTCTAAAGCATTTTATAGTTGCATCAAAACACATTATTAATGAAACTGTAGTACCAGAATTTATCTAATTACACTCTGTGTGGGATTGTCCATCTTGATTAACCCAATTAGGAATTCAAAACTACGATTGAAACTTGATTTTCATCTTCTTATTCTTATGTTCTTAACTTGCTATGATGTTTCTTTACTTACAGGAACAGTACAGATTTATATACAAAGCATTATGGGATTATATCAATCTAAGGATGGAAGGTGGTACACTAACAGAGAAAATGGAGAAAACCAATGAAGGTTTTGAGATAGAATCCAGTTCCAGTTTTCAGTCTTTTAGTGATATTGGTATATACTCTTAAACAAATATTCAATAGTAATGGATGTTAATGTCACGTTAATCTGCCTCAGACATTTCTACATTATATTAGTAGAGTCTCATATATTATAGTAAGGTCTATATGCGATGATTAGGGTCTATGTATATAGAGGGATATGCCATTTTTAGGGTTGAGGTACTTCGCAAAGGACAAACCATATAATGGAACCTTTGATGTTTGATCAAACGATTTTATTTTATGATATTCTTAGAATATATTGTTTACTGTGATGTTTTTTATATTTTAATGCAGTCCCATTTTTATCATAAATATTTTCTTTTTACTATAACCCTTTATTTTTCTTACAAACTCACTACCATTAGTCCTGTTGATATTGTCTCTTCTCCTGTCCGTCCAGACAACTGGTCAGGTGTAAACCATACCAATGAGAGCTTGCCCTTCACTTATTCAAAATCGAAATTACCTGGTATGCATTATATAGAGACAAGAGTTATGGCCTGAATGTTAAACAAACATGTGTATTAATGAGCTCCAAAATAATTTATCATTTTGCCATAAATAAATTTTATGCTGTATCATTTTACTTGTTTTTATGTGTTTGCATGTATTTCTTAAGAGGAAAGAAAGAACTAAAAAAGATATGCCATAAAGATGTGTACATTCAATAGATCAGTAATAAACCAGATACTTGCCATTGTGACTTTGTAGATTATTTCAGACTGACAATAGTCATATTATCTTAAGAAAATTTTATATCAAAAGACATTGAAATGAAGATTTAATATTTTTATATAAATTCTGTTTTTCATTTTGATATATACACAACAAACATCTACACCCTTTTTTCTCTAAAAAACTTATGAACAAATTTGGTTTTAATCATTCGGCAATGCCCAGCTATGTCTGTATGTTGCAGAGCAATAAGCATAACTTTCATGGTAGGCTGTAATGTGAAAAATTACGTGTTGATATTTGTAGAATTATACCATAGTGCTTTAAAAGTTATATATATATATTCTTTAGTCATGTATATTTATTGTGATATTTAAATATTTATTTTAGATTGATGTTTTTTTTCCTATTTCTGAAAACTGATATCCATATTCTTATTAAATGGATATTTTTGTAATTATTGAACACATGATTTATTTAGCCTGAACCGTCCATGTAGCCTTGTTTTTTTGGTATTTATTTGTATATTTTATATGAAATATTATACTTTTAATAGTAATAAAGCATTACTTTTTTTATGAATTCTTTCAAATCCAACTAGCCAATTTTGGGAGTCAATGATAATGCGCTCAACATAGAACCCAGAACTCAGCGTTAGTGGCTGCTGCAGAACTTTAGATAAGGAGGTGGTGCAGTGGTGAGGGCACTCTTTTGGCGATGCCACCGCTTAGGGGTCTATTTGAGATTAAAGTTAATCTGAGTCTTGAATATGTAAATAGTCTTCAGAACTAGAAATGTATGAAATATTCCTTCATTCCTTCAAAAGTATCTCAAACTATGAATTTCTTTTCCTATTTCTATAGATGTCTTTTCTATATATGGCAGTGTCTTAAAAGACATGGATAATTCTGGATACACATGGATTTGAAAGCTCAAATTTCAATGGTGAGCTGTTCAGAACACTATTACTGATAGGCTTAGCTAAAAAATTATCTATTATTTTTGCCTTGTTGTTATACAAGGTTTTATTTTCTTAGTAGCTCTGAACCATTATTTTATTGGTATTTAATCCATAAGGTAAAAATATCACATTTAGAGTTTTTGTGCTGAAGTAGGCTGGTCTCTCCCCTCAGTATTTATCTACAGCCTATCCATGTTGTTTAATCAACTAAGGAGTGTTTATATTGTGTCCAGACGCCTTGGCCTAATAGTACAAAGATAAAAATTAAGGATTTCCAGTTTGCCTTGCCTCGTCGAATTAATTGCAATACTTTGTGTCGGGTCGATTTGACCATTTTTTGGCGAATTGGTCATTACTTTTGTCGCATTGACCAAATTTCCATTACTTCCGGTACAAAATCATAACATTTCACAACTTCCGATTTGGATGCGCGCCAGTTTGAGAGATGAAGTGTTTTCTGAACGAAAATGGCTTATTCTGCTGTCCAAAATTCGTCTGCTGTTACTTTGGAAGATTGTACGTGTCCAATATGTATGTCGATACTGATCCAGCCTGTGACGATGCCATGCACTCATGAACTATGCATGCCATGTTTTCGAAAGACCGTCGAGGAAGCCAATTTATGTTGTCCGATGTGTCGGCTTCGAATCGCAACCTGGGCCCGATTGTCAACAAAGCAAAAAACTTTGGTTAATGAAATTCGTTGGAAGCAAATTCAGACTTTATTCCCTGAGAAAGTAAGGAGGAGACAAGAAGGTAAAGATGACGATGATGGAGACCTCAATGATGAAGATGAGCCAAGTAAGTTTGTGAATTAGGGTTCTGAAGTTACCTGGTTCAGTAAGTCTATCAAACAAACATGTCCTTAGTTTTATTTTCCTTAAGCAGTTATAAGCTGATTCTATAAGTTATAGGAAGAAACATTTGCCTTTCTTGCAGTAATTTCAGTAGCGGTATCTGATAAATATTTTGACATTTGTCGGCCGGAGTAGGGTTAGATAAATTGGCCCTCGTTAGATGATGTTTTTTCACACCATAGATAAGTGCAGGGTTTTAAACCTACTTGAAGTAGTAATTGTTAGCTATTTCTATAATCTGAACAGTACCTTACTTCGGGCCTATCAGACGATGGGTTCTGCTAGTGATATACTGAATTAAGAGTGGTTTCCACAAAGTGATTAAACAGGTGTTAATCTGTGATTACTGTATGTGTGATGTTTTTGTTGTGATTATGAAAAGACATCTAGGTACATTGAAGATATTTCTTACTAGCCTTGCTTGATGAGTTATGCTTATGAAGAATTTCATCATGACTTCAATCATTTTATATTTCTATGTATTTTGACTACTCTTCGTAGTTCATAGGTTACATTTTCCTCAGTTGTCATGTTTTTAATTTTTTTATATATATATATATATGTGTCAGTTATATCAAATGTATTTTGGAACAAGGTTGTCTACATTGATTCTTTGATTCAGAATAGTATTTCTTCAAGTAGTTATAGAATCAGATAGAGATTTCATAACATCTGGTTGGCCACTGTATCTATCTGAAACAACTTCTCTTCTTATATCATCTATTATTAGCTAACCCTAGTTCACACTGTCCCCACCCAGTTTCATATTTCAACTTCTTTATTGACATAAGTTCAACACATCATGATTCATTGAATGAATTTCAGATTTCCTGCTATATTTTTATGTTTATTGTTTAGTACTGTCTAGAGTTTTAGTTTGTTATCTATTATTTTGTTCTATTCATGAATTCCTGTCTGAGGGTGGTTAGGCGTACTATTATAGTTGATGTATTCTACTTTCACCACATTATAACAATCCATTGTCAATATTTGTACAAATATAACATTATATTGAAATATGTTACCAATACTAATTAATTTAACTATAAGTTTACTTTTTCTTACAAATTTCATATTTTGTAGTTATAGTTGTAGTTTCAGTAAAAGTAACAGGAAGTCTATTAAAATTTGATCAATTGCTATTTTTAAAAGTCATTGAAATTGCTTCCTCTAGCTTCATTTAGAATAACATAATATATTGTTAGTGTGCTATATTTTTACCCTTGCACTTTAATGGAAAATAAAATATGTATTGTTGCCATACTCAATTACAACACATGTAATGTAAGACAGTATCTGGATTACCCAACCAAAATATTCACAATTTATAATAAATGGACACTTAATTAGAGCTTAAAATACAGTTACGGTATTAAGAATATATTTATTTGAAATATTTGCTTTGTAGTAGACTAATCAAGGGGCTTTATTCTGGACCATGTGTGAATATTGACATTAGACCTGTAATACTGGGCGGTTCCTTTATCAGCTATTTCTAGTAACAACAGATATACTAGCTGTTCAATTTGTATGAAAAAAATGGCTACTACCATGTTTTTATCAAGCATGCTGAATATTGAGACTGTTGTTAATTTATTTAGTTTGATGATATTTGTTGTATTTATTATTTATGTATTATTTTTCCTTTCTATATATTCAGTACATCATCCTATTGTTAATATTGCTGAACCTGGAGAGATTAGAAAAGAATATGAAGAACAGTTGGAAAGGGTAAGTTGTTATGTGAATAAGATATATGTGTTGGTCGTGGGTGGTTTAATTTAGTGTAATATGGCTATAATGTAATCCAAGTTAAAAATGAGGCAAATGGGGTTTGAAATGAAAAAGTCACTTGCAAAGCTTGGACGTCTTTTAAAAATAATGCTCATCTGCAGAGGAAAGGAATATCATGTAAAAATGAAGTGTATTAAAAATTAGACCAAACTTTCGTTCTGTGTAGCTTCTATTTAGCTTCTAATGACGTCCCTCTTCCTCAAATTAACCTTTTGACCTAACCTGATAAACAGTGTGTCATAAAATACCAGCGCCGGGGAGGGTAGAAATTTGATTGATTAAAGCAGACATCATCGAGGGCTTGCATTAGACCCAAACTGAAGTAGCTATATTAAAAATAATAGCAAATAAAAAATGGAAAGAATGTTTAGTTGGACTGAAGTTTCTGATGAGTTTATCATCTTGTCTTAACAATACCAATTGGGTAAGTCCAATACTGGTGCATGACTGAAATTGTTCTTTGTCACTTCTGAGTCAGTTGAACTGGCAGAGTTGAGATGTTAGTTTTATATCCAAGCAATTAGATTTAGATTTACAATTATTAACACCTGTCTATGTGTGTTGTTTTCCCAACTCTACAGGTGGTGTTGAATACATAAAAAAGACTGAAGAAAAATCAAATTTTATCAAAATTATTGATTTAAAAAAAAAATCTTTCGATGTGAGCAGGATTCGAACCTACGCGGGTAGAACCCATTGGATTTCAAGTCCAACGCCTTAACCACTCGGCCATCACAGCTAATTAAATATTTGTTTATTCCATATCTTAGTTTGTTGAAGTAGTAAACGCCCATATCAATCAATAAGAACACCAGATGTTATCATAAAATCACTTCCGTAATATTTTATAGCAAAATGATTAACATTAATTTTTTTTTGCTCAAATCATTTTTGTACACCAAAATCTAGATAATTGTGTGGCTTAATATGTTTTTTTTTTTTTAACTAAAAAAACTACAGCCATTAATTTTTGAACCAAAAAACTATTTATATGTTTATATAAACTTTTATGTTTGTTAAGCTTGATAGAAGCCGCTGCACATCTGTACGTGAAATATAGGCCTAATTGTTGAGAAACTCAACTCCTACATATTCTTAAGGTTTTAACTAATAATATTGAGCCATTAGAAAGCTAAAAACCAAAACCAGGTCAAACTGCTTAATCAGCTCTCCTTATAAAACAAATTAAGTTTGATCAAGTAGATATAAAGATATAAATAGCATATATTAGATATATTTTCAGGTATAATTTACAACATTTTTGAAAATGAAAAAGTGCCCAGGAATTATAAAGTTGTTTTATGAACTTTTTTTTATGCATTTTAAGCTTGCATTCATTTGGGACATGGATAGCATCAATTTGCATCATTTCAATGTTCAGTCAGACATCTGTGGTTTTTGCAATATCACTACCACTTAGCATTTTTATTTCACTATTGCAAAGGTTCTTATTCGGGTATTATTATAAGCTTTTGACATTGCAAAACACTTCAGTTGACAGTTGTACAGTATTACAAGAACCACATGTTAAACATTAAAGCTTTCCTATAATATGTCCCTCAATACACATACAAAGTTTAGAAAACCTCTTTATTATCCCTTTATGGATATATTCAAAATCTTAACTGGTTTCTTGATTTCTAATGTATGACACTGAAAAGGAAATCTGAATTCAGATGTATCCCGGTACTTATTTCTTTCTATTTTAAAGAAAAAGACATAATTTTATCTGAGGCTAGATGAAAGATGGCAATATGAAAACATTTTCTGATGAAACTTTACTTCTAATCATATTGTATATATATTTTAAATAGTTAGAGAAACAGAGAGAAGAAGAGAGAAGTAAAGAAGAGGCTGAAAGTGCTGATCTTATTAAAAAGTTACAACGTGAAGAAGAAGAACGAGCTAGAGAATTAGAAAGACAAGCTGAGGAACAAAGAATAAAAGATGAAGAAATAGCTAGAAAACTTGCTGAATCAGCAGAGGTAAGTGTATATTTGTGATAAGTACTGACTCCATTCTGCATATCAAAAAAATTATCTTAATCATTCATGTGAATGGAGCATTGTACAGCTTTCATTTTTGTTGTTGTTCAAATTTTGTAACCTGGCACTATAAATATGTTCTTACAAAATGACAACAATTCTGAAGGGTTTCTAATATACTATGTATACTTTCATTCACATTTTACTTACATCTGATTTCTATAACCTGTGTACCCATTTGGTGAGACTGTAACTAATGTAACAATATTTTTCAATGATGTCAATTACATGGATTCAGAAATTGTAATAGAAATAGTTTGATTTATCGCGCAAATTCCACATCAGTGCTCCATTACGCTTTACAAAAATGTGTGTTAAAAATGAAAGATTATGTATATTAAGATGGTTCTCTAGAGCTTCTCTAAAATAATGGGTTTTAGTATATGTTTAAAGCATTCAATGATTCACAGGAGGGTAGCATAGAAAAAGAACAAAGCTGTTACAAATGTGAATATACTAAAATTCACCTGTTGTAAGATTATGGTCATCTTTGAAGACTTAATTATTTCTTACTTTATATTTCAGTTGAGTTTGTTAGAAAATGGAGATGATAGTATGATGGAAATATCACCCAAATTAACCAGAACACATTCAACAGGCACTTCTAGTATACCAAATAATGTTCAAACTTTAGATTCCTTCTTCTTTAATAAATCTTCAACTATCAGTTTACTAGATGATAGTCCAGAGATAGCACAATCATCCAGTTCAGACACACCACAAAGATCAACAGCATTGTCAGATAATAACCAGACTTTCTCACCTAATTCATTTAATAGATTAGAAGATATGCCTCATTCTCACCGTGAATTTGTGAAAAATCAGTTTCATGTGATGTCAAATTATTCCCCTGTTCACAAACCAGTAGATAAATCAATTCCTGCCACAGTGACATCAAAAACAATAGGGGCACCTGCTGATGATAATGACACTAGTAAGGATGAAGATTCAAGTATGATCTTTCCACCAATGCCTTCTCCCAGTAAAACAAGTCCTACGCCCAGTGAGTTTTCTATTTCAAACTTAAGCCCTACTAAAAGGGGTGGTGGCCTTTTTCCTCCACAAGATAGTAATAGTGCTGCTGAAATGACTGAGCGAAATCGTCTGTGTAGTAAGCATGTGAAATTGAAGCTTAAAAATATTTCACATAATGCTAAAATAGTGTCTGATGAACTTGAAAAGAAGGATTCTAATGTTCCTAGGGCAGTCAATGATAATACTGTGTCTTTTGTTGATTCTGATTATGAATCTGATGAAGATCCGTCAAAATCAACTTCAGATTCTGTTCTGAAGAAAAATAGTCATACTAGAAAAGCTAAGAATAAACGTCCTATTCTCAGTTCTGAGCATGAATCTGATTCTGCATCTGAAGATTCACAATCTCCAAAAACTAAAAAAGTGTTGAGGAAGAAAAAATCCAAAGCAGAATCTATTTTAAGCCCACAGAGATCTATCAAAGAATGGTTGTCACCAATGTCCAGTAAAAATCAAGAGGTGTCCAACTCAAAAGATATTCAGGAATCAAAAACTTCTCCCAAAAAATCATCAGTTACAGACAAGAAAGTTGGTAAGAACTCTTCCCCAGTGACAAAATCTTTGAGAAAAACAAGAACATCTAAAGGAGAAAAGGTGGAAAGATCATCAAAGCGTGTGTCTAAATCACTACAGTATGACAACGAAGATTCAAATTCAACACCTTTAACGTCCAAAGACAATATTATAAATTCAGATAACATTGTTAGAAATGTCAGGAAATCTCGTAAAACAAAAACTGTACCCGATACAGATTCTGTACCGTCACCTTCTAAACGACGCAGGAAGCGGTCTCATAAATCATCTGATGATGACAGTGAAAATTCAGAGTCAGTTTCACGATCCAGGTCACATTCACGAAAATCACAATCTAAATTAACTGTTATCAGTGAAGGGGAGACAACTCCAAATAAGAAATCTGGTATGCTCCTTGACTCAGAAGATGAATTTATGGACACTTCAAAAGCAAAGACAAGTCCCAGGAAAAAAGTCAAAGGAAAAGCTAGTTATAATTCACCTAAGAAAAAATCCAAGCAAACCAAATCTGAAGAAAGAGCAAATAGTATTGAGAAACAAGTTTCAGATAAAAGAAAATGGGCATTTGAAAAGAAACAGACTAAATTAGATTTTGATAGTGTTTTTACTGACAATGATAAACCTGAAGTTGAACTAGATGATTTTGAATTAGCGTTAAGATTACAAAGGGAGTTTGATAATGAAGCTAAATTAGCCAATCGTGTTGATAGATCAAAAGGTTCAGAGTCTGAATACTCATTGAGGCATAAACCCATACATTCACCTGCCAAAACCAAATAGGTTTTTAAATGAGGCAAAATAATTCTTCAAGATATAACAATATAACTGTACAAGCATACAGATTATATCATAGCCTGCCTTAAAGTTTCATGTGCAGTTTGAAGATGTTTGCTTTTATTGAGTTTATTTACACATGTAATTGAGTCTTTAACCCTTTGAACCCTGAGTGTAAATGAAATATAACATCATATCATGAACTCCAAGTAATAAAAGTAAAAGCTTATGGCGTTAACGTTCTATGACATCACTTAGCAACAGCCAGTATACCGGCTGCTCGGGTATATATTGCGTTCATGTTTGGCCGGCCGCAAGGGTTAAAGGTGATACCAATTTACAGAGTGGTTTCATAGTGTATATTGTAAAATATTAAGATTAATAACTTATTTTATCAGATACTTAAAATTATTTATCAGGACATTTCAAACTTAAATTTTAAAATGTTTCACTTTCATTGCAAATAGCATTATTACCCAGCAAAATTACCATTATTTTTTACAAATATTTCTTCTAATTATTCAGGGGTAACTGAACAACTTATGTCAGCTTGTGGTCAAGTTCTAATCATAATCAAATAAGACTAATGAAAAAATTATTTTAAGCATTTTAGGAAAATTTCCCTTTTAAAACTATTTATTTTATAAATGAGGATGTTTTATGTTTGTTGAGAATAGATTGCTAATAAAGAATGTTGTTAAGAAACATGTCTGATTACTATAATAGATTTTGATATAGAGATAGAAATATTAAAACAGAACTTAAAAAATATGTTTTTTGTTTTTAGGTTCTGGTTTAATATTTCTATATATCTCTACAATTGATGTATTGAGCCCCATTTTAACAGTGGTATTTTTATATCACTCTACAATTGATGTATTGAGCACTATATTAACAGTGGTATTTCTATATATCTCTATAATTGAGGTATTTAGCACTATTTTAACAGTGGTATTTCTATATTGCTCAACAATTGATGTATTGAGCACTATTTTAACAGTGGTATTTCTATATATCTCTACAATTGATGTATTGAGCACTATTTTAACAGTGGTATTTCTATATATCTCTACAATTGATGTATTGAGCTCTATTTTAACAGTGGTATTTCTATATATCTCTACAATTGATGTATTGAGCACTATTTTAACAGTGGTATTTCTACATCGCTCTATAATTGATGTATTGAGCACTATTTTAACAGTGGTATTTCAACATCGCTCTATAATTGATGTATTGAGCACTATTTTAACAGTGGTATTTCTATATATCTCTACAATTGATGTATTGAGCACTATTTTAACAGTGGTATTTCTATATATCTCTACAATTGATGTATTGAGCACTATTTTAACAGTGGTATTTCTATATATCTCTACAATTGATGTATTGAGCTCTATTTTAACAGTGGTATTTCTATATATCTCTACAATTGATGTATTGAGCACTATTTTAACAGTGGTATTTCTACATCGCTCTATAATTGATGTATTGAGCACTATTTTAACAGTGGTATTTCAACATCGCTCTATAATTGATGTATTGAGCACTATTTTAACAGTGGTATTTCTATATATCTCTACAATTGATGTATTGAGCACTATTTTAACAGTGGTATTTCTATATATCTCTACAATTGATGTATTGAGCACTATTTTAACAGTGGTATTTCAAAACACGAAGCTGTGTGCTATCTAAAGAACAAAAACTTTTCTGTTTTTTTCCAGGTCTGACTTGTTGAACTTCCAAAAGTATAAGCTGGTCTGAAACACTCGATCTTCCGTCTATTTTAATCAATGACTATTTGGCCTCTTTACATGCTCTTTGGTATGTGGTTAGAATTAGTTATTTGTAGTCTTAATAATTTATATAGTTATCTCCCTTTAACTATTATGACGGAGGATGGATCATTTTTCAGTTGTTTCACTTAGAATATGAGTCCCACTATATAGTCAGTGGGAGAAATTTTTACATGAATGGAGGTTGGAGGTTGTACATCCTAAATAATTGTTATAATGTTTATACTGGGAGCCCCAATCCTCAGGAATGTTTTATTAACACCTGCAAGTCAACTTATTGCCTGTTAAGGAGATTTCAATCTATTTCACTCATTTATATATTGATGTTTGCAAAGTTTAACTGTAATTTGTTTCTAAGGTAGGAGGCCGTGGACTTGATTCAACCAGTCCCTCTGGTAGTTAATCCCTGCTTTTACAATTTCTCAATTTGCTAGGTCCAAATCTAATAGCCCTATCCTAATCGGTCTTTAATAGGTCCTAGTGCTAGAAGTTATAAAGTGGTTATTTAGCCATTCAGGTGCCATTCTGGCTGTGTATTTTCTATTATTCCTGAAATTGACAGAGATAAATGGAATACGTGCGAGATAAACGCCGATTATTTTCATAAAAATATCTTCATTCATATTCATCATTTTGTTAACTTTTCTTTTAGTCTGAATTCTGGTCCGAGACACGCCGACAATCTCTGAAATTTTTGCGCCGAAAGAGTAATGGAAGACAAAGAATGTTTTGTTAACATAATATTATAGTTCTATAATTTGAGCTAAGTTTTACTATATTATTTGCCCTTGACAAAATCAGAGAGGTTATCCGTTTTCACCCGATTAGGATAACTATTGGTATGCTTTGAAGAGATTATAAAGAGAATTAATTTTACTTGGAATTGAGGGAACCATAGATGTCTTATGATTGAAAATTGGAATGGTGCAAATTGATGCCATCAGAAAACCTCTTTACAATCCCTTTATTAATGTGGACTGATGGGATCTCGGTTGAGTTAGAAGCTTTAACATTACATGTATAAGTTGTTGAGAATAGGATTTAGTGTACAGGAGCCAATTTAATAATAATAAACAATGGAATTGTTCTGTACCCGAGAACTTGTACTACTTGCCTAAATCATCATCTTTACACAAGAGGCTCACGTTGCCAATTTGCCATGTATGGTACCGATGTCTTGGATTGTACCTTGCCTCGCCTGGAGAATGTTCCGTCTTTAAATTGTGTTTAGAATAAATATATAGTCTATCGGCCTCGCCGATTTGAATACCCAACTATACAATAACAAATTTCACGCAATGAAGATTAAGAGATTGATGTAAGAAAGTTGACGACCCACACTGCTGCCAGCAAGTTATATTATATCTAAACTCATCAACTAGGTGTGAATATTGCTTGCAATAAACTACCATAAAGAAGTTACGGGGTTGTTCACAGATCATTATAGCGTCCACTTCATTGATCTTCTCTTCCTTTTCGTGTCGAGCTGTTCTGGGTTAGAGCGACCCAATGTCACTCTTGTTATTCTCATTAGGTTAGCAAGGGATGGTTCAGTTCACCCTATTATGACACATATTGGTCTGATTAATAGGCACTCCATGATATAATGACACATCAGATACTATCCAAAACACAAATACATGTACTTTAGCTACAAAAACAATTTCTTTCGTGGAAGCAAACAAAACTGATCAAATTCTCACCAAGTAGCCTATTATATCTTCTCGTCCACTGCATTAAGAAGATAAATCTCCTTAGACTTATATTATACAAACGCTTGCATGAATCAAATGGAGCTTCACACCCTAATTTTCTCATCCTTAAAATATCACTGAATGTAGCAACATTTATATTAGGCAACATTATGCAGTGTGCAATAAGGGAAATCTAGCCTATTTAATAGCGTTGTTCCAATTCGTAAAGGTACTCAAACTCCTCTTTTGAAATGCACTGCCTGTCGCATTGAAGTTCTCACAGCATATTTGGTATTCAAATGACTTCTTACATATTAGCCCCTTTGACCTAACGGTGAAAATCGGGCATTGTATGTCACCCCAACTAGAAGTTTCAAAATTTTTACTTATAGGCGAGTTGTGTACAGCTAGTTTTTTTCTTTAAATATTAATCACATAGTTTTAGTCTTTCTGATAGCTTCTTTGACAGTTGTTGAAAATCTTGGCCCTGTTTTATGCAGATTTTACCATACCATACTACACATCCGAAGGTTTTTAAAACAAAATTAATCTTATTTTTAAAGATAGATAAAGCCTTCAAAGACTGAGTGTGCATCCAAAAATTATCCTAGCAGTGATGCCCCTGCATCAGGGTTTAAGGTAAATAAATTTGTCTAAGAATCTGCAGCATCAAACATGCTGTAAATGCCTGAAAACGGTGCATAGTTTTTTTGATGCTACTTCAGCTGACAACCTTCACAATAACTATCAGAGGCTGGAATAGGGGCAGATGTTTCAGACAAGCCTTTGCCTAGTCCGATCTCCACTTCACCTCCTTTTAGCATCAACAAATCTGATGACTGACTAGTGAGTAAGTCAACTTAACTTAGAGAAAGGAGGATAATGAATTTGATATTTTAACATATCTTTATTGTCATTAAAAGGAACATGTGTAAAATGACAGAAACTAAACTAAAATTAACAAGCTGTTGCCCAAACAGCTATACGCCCAAACAGCTATACGCCCACACAGCACGATGTTTCATGAGTCACATGGTTTTAAACTTTAAAAAAGCATCTCTTAAGCCAATTTTTGAAATCTTAGCTAAAGGATGAAATAAATGAAATTTTATGTCCTTATATTCTCCTCTTTAGATTAAGTCAAGCCATTCATTGAAAGTTCATTGAAAGATCTCGACAATCGAGCTCATCTGAGATCTCATTAATAGCCATAACAAGTTTAATACAAATCCTATCCTGTTTAAAATCAAGTGTGATTGAATGATGTAAAGATGAACGAGGGTGAAGACAATATTATGTCACATTGTAATGTGGGCGTACATAAAATATTAACAATTGAGTAAAAAAGAAGTAAAAAAGAAATAAAAACAAACATCCCCAACCTCACTAGCGCCGTTTTGCACTTCCTTCCTATAAAAATCAAATAAAAATTTCATATCCACAAATTAAACTGGGTTTTTGACTATTTGACGTGACCTGGAAAGGACTTTTACAGATGGCTGAAATACATCTTTGTTCTCTTGTAAACTTTTCAATTCTTTCTCCAGTTGTTGTGCTTTCCTTTGAAATTTTCTTGCCTTTTCCTGAGATACAGTTAGTCTTTGCTTTAATTTCTCAATATCAGCTTCATATTTTCTCTTTACACTGTCAATGTCATTTAAATCATAACTGTCATCAGTGAATGAATCATTAGCCTCAGCTTCAGGTTCAGGTTCTGGTTCTGGTTCAGGCTTACTGTAGATTATATGCTATAAACAAAAGAAATAGAGTTAAAGAGGTATTCTGAAAGTACTGAAAATTGCAATTGTGTAAAATCGGAAGAATAGTATAAGCATAAATATCCAATTTTCAGCTTGTCTGCAAGCTATATACAAAAGGATAATAACTCACAATACTATCTGTTATATTAGAAAGGTGAATGTTAAATGAATGAACATAATTTGAATTCTCAAACTTGGCCAATAAGAGTATAATAATCACCTTTGAGGTACCGAAGTCATATTTTGTTTGTCACCAGGGGTGCAAATATTGAGTTAACTCTGAGTACTAGTCTGTCCAAAAGGTGTTTCCTTTTAAAATGACTGAACATAGTTTCCATGACAAGCGGAAGCCATGATAACAAATCTAAGCAATGACTGTAGTCTAATGGAGGCAAATGCTGCACCTTCATAACAACCCTTTTTTTCCATTCATCATGTTGTAAGCTTTTTCTTCATCACCCTCGATTTAAATACCTGGTGCACAAAGGATTTGTTAACATAGAAAGGCAATATGCGTATTAACTTACATCTAGTAAATGTGCTGGATAATCAAATATTGTTGGAATGGCTCCTTTCATCAGAGTCACATTACCTCCTAATCGATGTATATATTTCTCCTCAAAATGTCGAGAACATAGTGAAGATGATCTTGATGGAGTAAAATCTTCCCTTCTGAGATTATGTAACCATATTTGGAACAGTTGTGGATCTCTCCCAGGAAACCTGAAATGTGCTTACATTATCATAAGTAGATGAACATTAGTTGTACAAGGCAGTATTCCATAGTACCGGTAATATACCAGTCTACACACTATAAAGACCAAACCAACACTGATTTAAGCAAAGGGATAAGAAAGGAAAGATCTATATTTTACAAGGATAACAACTTAGGTTCACAAAGCATAATTTTAAATCTTATTTTCTTCTTTCAACACAAATAGATCTTAGATTTGCAAGAATGATTCAAACAATTAAATAAAATCATAACATGTGTTACACCCATATAAATTTGTTATGTTTTTTTGTGGGTGTTTGAAAAACTTTTCTACCAGTACAAATTTAAAAGCAAAACAAATGACCACACCAATACTAGATTAAGAAGCTGTTTACTTATCACTTAGAACAGAATTCAGTTTGATCAAATAGATACATAGATGTAAATAGTTTATTCAAAAAATATCTACAAGTAGGCTAGGCTACATAGGCTAGGATAGCGGTTTTATCTTTTGATAATAAACATTTTGAATGATGGTCCCTACCGGGCTACTACTGCCCCTTTTTAAGCTAAATTAGAGAAAAAATAATTTTACAAAAACATATTTGAAATTTGATTATCATTACTTGTTCACTCACTTATGAAATGTTATTCTTTTGTCATTTTCTTTCTCCTCATTCAAATATTTTGGTATTGGCTTTTCTTTACAATTAACGGCGGCACAACAAGGCATTGTTTATGATTGTGAATGTTTACAAAATAAAGTGTTTTATACACAGTCGAGACTGTCTATGATTGCAGTCAAAATCTAACCCAATACGGTGTATAAATGACTGAAGATACTACTGCTTTTTGATTTCTCAAACAGAGCAGATCTAGGTGTAATGTTTTTAATTGCATACGATGAGACAAGCGAGATAAATTTTGAAATTACAAAGATTTCAAGCATGCGCGGGAAACAGACATATCGACCACGCTTAAAAATAACCAAGACCCTATGTTGTCAAAACGACCATGACTAGGTCAAAACGGACACGAAAAGTTATGATGTTAAATACGTAACGATCATTGATTTTCCCTATAAACATAACTGTTAAACAAGTCATTACCATTAACTAAGATGCCAACGGTGGATAACGGTTTCGTCTGGAACCAGAAAGTAAGACCGCGAGATGCTGATACATGATGCAATATAGCCTTTTGTATTAGTTGATGACCACTGTATATTTCCCACACTACTATCTTTTCAAATGGACAACCTCTTAACTGGAGATTTAGCCTTCTAAATGATGTGCTTGACCTGGCCAGGAAACATGACAACACTTGTCTGCATGGCTAATATGAAACATGACAAAATGACGCATATAGAGGCATGGACAGCCCCGGCCCGTCTTAACTAGTGTATTGGTGCTAGGGCTTGGATTTTGTGTCGAGGTGTGGTGGGATCTGCTGAACTGAAAAGGGTTTTGTGAGGTCAATTGCTGGGGCTTAGTTTTCACTTGGCGGGATCCATCACCCGTGGACCAACGCTAACAGCAAGGTTGGACATAGCTAATGAAAGCTAATAGATGATAATGCCCATATCCAGTACTAGATTTGTTGAATGACAGATTGGGGTCACGAAAATGTATTGCGTTGTTATTCAACAAAGAGTTTCTCAAAGAGTTAAATATCAGTGCTTTTGTCAAGAAATCACGACTACCTTCAAATAAATCAAATTCTTATCGTTTAGAACTCATTTCAATCTTGCATGTGTCGTCTGCTGGCAACTTCCGGTCTTTTTTCTCTACAAATTACAAATCAATTTTGTCTTTGGAATTAATTTCCGATGAAGAAGCCTGGTTATTTTCAATGTAAATTGTCGATGGCAAATAGACCATAGATACGTGACTAAACACAATGATTTCAAGTTAAAATTCATTCTAATGTCATCTGAAAGATCAATAGATCATCACCAATCTAAACACAGTCTGACCTATAGTTACATCCTTCAACAAGTGATATCCTATATTGCTCCCTCGAAACGTGTAATACAGACGTAAGGAAGCTGTTTAAGTTTTGTAACCCATCTCATGGCTCTAAGGTCAGTTGACTGAAGGACAATTACATCCTCACAATCTCCAACGAACACGAACTGATCCGAAAATTGTTGACCCTCAGCAGCGTCCACCATTGCCTCCAGACAAGGCAAAGCAGAGCTCACTTATTGATGAAAAGATGATTATTATCTTTTGAATGTGGATTATTTTGATAGAAACTCTATATGTTAATTGTATGTTCCTGTTTCATGTAATAAAATTTACATGTAGCCTACTGCGGCTTCTGTGCTTCTGCATCCTCTCGATGCTCGAATTTCAGCAGTCGCTGTAGGTAATCTGTCTTACAATTATGAGCGTTAATAATGCCTGATTATCGAGATATGCATGGTGCCTTTATATACCGGGCGAAAAAATCCGGTTTGAATCATCATCGTGTACTATACAGGAAATCTTGCATATTAAATTAACGGATAATACATTCTGGTATACGTTTATAGCTGTAATTTTGAACAATTGTTTATCAGCAGCATGAATGGTTGTATAATGAAATGACCCGAATAAAAACTACTTGAATAGTTGAAGTCTAGACTTTAACCTCTCGTGATTGATCTCTGTAGAATATGGAACAATATCCTCATCAATTGGTTTGTTTTTTATTCTCATTTCCTATTCTGAACCAATAAACACACACAATTCCTGTGTCTGAGTGGTTCTCATTGAATTTCTTCCAGTTCTGTTCTAGTTTCAAATATTTAGCTCTATAGAACCTGCTCTTCACAATGGTTAAGGTATTGGGAACTTTATCTTGACCGTTGACCATTGTGAAGACAACAGAACCAAGCTTTTTACAGTTAGATATATTTGTAACCTTATTGCAGGAAACTTTGATCGGGTACCTTGCCATATTATCCACTTCCGGTTGAGCTGAACCACCAGTGACTCATTAGAATGTTGTAAAAACGATTGAATCTGATGCTTCTACTTATCCAAATACAACATTAGCATCATATGCAGCAAAATATCGTTTTCAAATTGTACATTTCATACAGCAGACAATGTCATAAACTTAAAGCTGCATCAAGCAGGTCGGTTGGCTGAAACATCTGGTAGTGAAAAGAATGAAAAATGGATGACCACGCCTATATTATGAAGGGGTCCTTGAAGCACGGTAAAACACAATAAAGATGATGGTAGAGGTAAATACCACACATACTGAAATGCCTACATCTGGCCCTGGATGATGTAATTATACTGACAGTAAAAATGTTGAATTTGACAAGAAGCTGAATGGATAACATATGGTGAAAGTGTAATGGTGTTTATCAATAGAACCTGCAACACACATGTAGTAATCTACTTATTGCAATGGTTCTTCCGATTGAAATAATGGATTGAGGTCACATAGCAATATTTATCGTATAGCTGTAATAATCACCATCTTGTTTAACGATTTACAAGGGTTCTCCAGTAATTTATGCAGACTTGAGGTGGTCGGAGAGATGGGCCAGCATTGTATAAAAGAGTGTGAGAGAGCATTTACTCAGTTTCATGGTCATCTTCTCTTAACACAGCACTGTCACTATGAGGCATTTCCAAATAAATCAAGATAGGATTAAAGCTGAAACAACAATTACGCAAAAAGAGCATATATAGGCATACTACTACAAGTCGCCTTGGTTAATTGGTCATATGCACGAATTAGACGAGAAGAAATAGAATTAATGGTAACCATGAATCATGGTTTTTTTGAATTGAGAAATTCTACCCGTGGTGTAAATATTGGTTTAATCTTTAACCCGGTATGATATTCTCGACTTCATATTAACAAATTTCATTTTCTATCGACCTCACTCTAATGATATTGAGCAATCCAGTTGACTAAGACATTAAAAAAGATGAGAAATTTTACTGGAATATTGATTGGGAGGAAATGAGTAAACAAAACGAAGATTAGACCAAGTGACAGTTAATGAAATGATCTGAAACAGATCAAATAACCATGATGTCATTCATTATCATTTACGTGCCAAAAACCACCTGTGAACGATTCATGTATTGGTCGGGTAGAACAAGAGTTAGTATCTTGTAATCTACATCAAATTTTAACCCATTTTACGCTAGAATTTGATTTCTTGACAATTACAGTCAATTGTTTTATTGCAACGAACAATTAAGTATTTTTGAGGAGCAATATGACCTCATGGTAATAGGCAGAGGCAACCAGAGGGGTCGAACCTTTTTAGGGACCTACGATAACAACTTTTAAAAAATTAAGAATATAATGAAATAGGGTGGTGGCAGCGCATGATCAGTTGGGCATTGAGTTAGGTGCCCTAGGAAACTCATTGGCTCAAGGACCAATAGCTACCCAGACCGCCCCAAGTGGTGGGACTAATCTGCTCTGGCTTAATCGTGAACCACCTGATTATCTAAATTCCATTTCAACATGGGCATTGCAACCCGATAATGTCGACCTGCGGCATGATCAGACACAGAGCATTATTATGAACACATTTTCACGACTAGACAGACAGGAAAATCTCCAGTAATACTGTGACTTGACAGGAGTTGGGAGTGATTTCAAGACAATCAGTGATAGAATTAACTCGCAGACTGACTGGGGCAAAAATTTAAAATTCTCTCTTGATATCTTAATGCGAATTTAAATCGAATACTGTGTAGAATTAAAGAAATTGTCAATTATATTCACAGCGGCCATCAAATTGAGTAAATCAGATTAATAATTCACAACATGTTGTCAGCGAGGAGAGGATTTTAATTTTATTAGGTCTTTAAGACATGGCTGGCGATCTTAAATAGTTCTTTATGGATTAATGCCTTAGCGGCAAGACGTACAACTCCTATGAAAGGGGCACATGCTCAAAAAACCGAAGCCCATTGAGAAACAATTACTGTTTAAATGTTAAGATATAGTGACCAAGCTTTTCAAAGTGTATTTTCAATTCGATTGTCAATGAATAATCCAGAATTCCTCACAAATATTAAGCGTATCTTTTATTGAACAGGGCATTTGATCGTTTGAATATTAAATGACTTGAAACATGAGATGCATTACACTTTTGTCAGATCATAGTAAATTCCAAAAATATACCTGAGTTACAAATTTAGCTATTTAGGGACACGTATGAATTTCTTAACTAATTTTTCAGTAAAATCCAATAATCATTAATAAATGTCAATTTTCAATAAATGTTCTGAACTTATTCCTGTTTTATATCTAGAATTATCTCCACTAATAATTGGAGCAAACGTGAAAATATAACATATTCATTATTCAACAATATAGAAATCAGTTTGGGACAAATTGAACAGACAATGGTGAACTTCAAGGTCATTTCAAGGACACTCGCCATCTCGGCACTTCTCGGTGGTAAATTGTTTCCAGTTAATATTGCTGATGTATGCAGGGCCTATATTATCAGAAGAGAGGAAAATCCGATGAAGTATTTGAAGAATATTACTGCAGACAATGACAGGACATTGGAGAAGTTTGTCAACTTGTTTAGAAGATATCGATGTGAATATTGAAGGTGAGTGGCTTCAGAAATTTCATTCTTTATATAGATAGGAAACCTAAATATGAGATTGTATACAAGCATAAGGATGGGGAAATTCGGACTGATGGAAAGGAGAGCTGTGAAATGCTAGTCAATACGTTTTTGGGTAATGTCAGGAACCCATGTGAGCAAGGTAGTGGTAATCTTTTAGAAGTATGAAATATCATCTCAATAATTTTGAACTCCTACTGGCATGATCATCTTATCTTATACGGCCTACCTTTGTATTGGAATTTACACATAGTCATCGAAAAAATTGTTGGCTCCATTTGGAAATTATAGATTAATAGAATTCAAGAATCAATTC